AATTGTGCAGTCGCCAAAGCTGCTACCCTTTCTGGATGCAGTTGAAGTGGATATAGGAGCTCAAGTGGAGCACAGGGCTGGCATAAGGAAAGCACACTGTATTCCCAGTCAGAGGACCAGAAGGGACTGATTTGTTAGCATGGTGTGTCTGGCTGTCTTTCAGCTGGTTAAATAATGAGTTACACACTTGGCGTGAATCCACAGGAGAGTTCAAACCGTTGTCCCTCTTGGCCTATCGAAATGACTTAAAACTCTTTTCCTGTGGTGTATCACTTGGGGATTATAAGGATTTGTTGGGTTTTCATGGAAATCCAGAAGAAAGGAGGAGACTTTCAACAGATCTTTTCAAATTTTTTTTTTTTTCATAGCTTGTCTTTCTGTAGTTCATTGTTTTGATTTTTTTGCTGTTGGGTGATGCATTGTTGAGGCTTAATGGTCTGGTGAGGCATCTACATATATGTGTATTACATATATACATACATATATATATAAAAAAATCAAGTCCTTCTGTATATGCTTAAAAAGAGATTTTATTGAATATATGCTTGCTTCAAACTTCTGTTTCATGAGTCCTTTCTATACATAGTGTTATTCAGGAGCTTTTATATAGTGAACAAGGTAGAGTAGTTTCAAGCTAGTGTAAAAATCTTCTGCATGTCTTTGACCCTCATGAGATTTGTGAAAGATGTGTAGTGTGGCGTTTTCAACTTGGGGAAGTGAATGTACAAAGCAAGACAAGTCAAGACAAGTTAGACTAGACTTCTCTTGTAGATACAAGTAAGCATTTCTTCTGGCTTGATGAATGCTTTTGAAGCAGAACTGTATCATATATTGTATGCAACTAGTGAATTAGTTGTATGAGTTATCTTCCTTAGTCTTAGAAGATGCAACTAGGTATACTGTTCCTGTTACTTCGGAAAAAACGAAACAAACCAAAAAACCCCATTATTTCTTAGCAGCCTGAAACCAAGCAGCCCATATTTGCAGTAAAACAAGTCTTTTTGGTTGCATTGGTTTTCCTCCCACATGTATGTCCTTCCTGTCTGCTATGCAAGTTTCCTGAAGATGTTAAATACATTAACAGAACTGAAATACATTAGTTAATTCTCTCATAAGACTCCACTTGGAGTACTGTGTGCAGTTCTAGTGTCCTCAACATACGAAGGACATAGAGCTGTTGGAGCAAGTTCAGAGGAGGGCCACAAGGATGATCGGGGGCTCGAGCACCTCCTGTGGAAAGACAGGCTGAGAAGATTGGGGCTGTTCAACCTGGAGAAAAGAATTCTGCATGGAGACCTCATAGCGGCCTTCCAGTAGCTGAAGGGGGCCTACAGGGATGCTGGAGAGGGATTCTTCATCAGAGACTGTAGCAACAGAACAAGGGATGATGGGTTTAAACTTCACAAAGGGAAATTCAGGTTAGATAAAAGGAAGAAGCTCTTTACTGTGAGGGTGGTGAGGCACTGGAATGGGTTGCCCGAAGAAACAGTGTATGCTCCATCCCTGACAGTGTTCAAGGCCAGGCTGGACAGAGCCTTGGCTGATACAGTCTAGATAAGGTGCCCCTGCCCATGGCAGGGGGTTGGAACTAGATGATCTTCAGGTCCTTTCTGGTCTATGATTCTATGATAATTGCACATGGAGAAGGTATTTGATTATGTATATATAAATACACACATCACATAGTAGTCCCACCTACTGAATCTTTGCCACCATATGGTAGCAGTCTGTGTAAAACTCGTTCCTGTAAGTGATCGAAGCCAACTTGTAGTGCCATCAGAGGTATTGATGTTTTGATGGCGATGTTCCTGGTGCCTGGTAAGGTGATTTGTATGGTGGTACAGTTCGTGAAGAAGGTCTCAGAGCTGGAGTGTGTTAAAAATGATCTCTGGGTAAAAGAGCAGAGGCTTAGGTTGAGTAGTCTTTCATGAAGCTGTGGAGGAGTAGAGTCATTTTAGTTGCTTTTTAGTTGCTTTTAGTTGTTTAGTTTTTAGTTGAGTTGAAGTTTACAAGTACGTCAGAGTATTACATTGCCATGCCACTCCCCTCTGAGTTTATATTTGTGCCCGGCGTGCATAATCTGGCATTTGGACTTCTTGAATTTCATCCCATTAATCAGTGTCCAATGCTCTAATCTATGTAGATCCCTCTGCATCCAGATCATTGGCAAAAATACTGATAAGAACAGGTCCTAGAATTGAGGCACCCCCATGTAGCCCCATTCACTACAACCCTTTGAGCCCTGCTGTTTAGCCAGTTCTTCACCCAAAGCATCAGGTACCTGCTCATCTCAGAGTTGGACAATTTGTCCAGAAGGATGCTCTGAGGGACACTAGCAAAAGCGTTACTGAAATCCAGAGGAAAACTACATCTACTGCTGTCCCCTCATCCACCTGGCAGATGACCTTATTGTAGAAGGATATTAAATTAGTTTAACAGGGCTTTTCCTTTGAACCTATGTTGACTGTGCCTGATGATTGTGGTGTTCTTAAATGTCTTTCAGTTGCACCCAGTATGATCTTCTCCATAAATTTTCCAGGTACTGAAGTTGTCTATCAGATCTGTAGCTTCCTGGGTCTTCCCTCATGCCCATATTGTAAACTGGAGTAGTGTTGGCTAGTTTCCAGTCGACAGTAACCTCCCCAGGACTTTGGCAGATGATCAAGAAACATCCTACTCTAACATTTGCTAGCTTCTTCAGTGCTGTGGGGTGAATCCCTTCAGGCTCAATGGATTTGTGAACATTCAGCTGATACAGCTGGCCACTCAAAGTTTCAGTGCTCACTGAAATAAGTCACTGTTCCCTCACTCAGGGTCCTCTGACTTAGAGGATCAGGTATCCCAAGGTCTACCTAACTATTCTGTGATTCTATGATTATTATAGACTGAGGAAAAAAAAAACAACCAACAACACAAGGCCAGCCAAAAACCTGCAAAAAACCCCAACATAGAATGGATCTGCTTTTTCTTCATCCCTGTTAAGTGACTATCTTCAACAAGTTGGTCCAGTGTTTTCCTTAGAACTCCATTTGCTATTAATGTACTTAAAAAAGCCCTCTTATCTGAAACAACACTGGCCAATTTCAACTAGCTTTGGCTTCTTGTGTCTTCCTCCAAACCATGGCTCTGTAATCTTCCTGCAAAGCCTGACCTTGCTTCCAGAGGTCATACAGTTTCTTTTTCCTCCTGAGCTCCATGAGTTCCCTGTTCAGCCAAGCTGGTCTGCCCTGCTTGCTTGACTTAGGACACCATGGGATTACCTCCTTCTGTGCTCTAAAAGGTCTCAAAAGCTGACCAGCCCTCATAAGCAGATCCCCAGGGGATACTGCTAAGTAGCTCCCTGAGTAGCTCTAAAGTTTTCTTTCTTTGCATCCAGGGTAGCAACTCTGACTGTATACAAAAAACTCACAAAAATGTGGGGTTGGGAAGAAGAATGAGGGAGGAGAAAGCAAGGTGGTATGTAATAGCATAACTAAAAGCCATGTAGCATCTACTGTCAGTTCAGATATGCTCTGGGACATCATTTTCCACTCTTCTGTTAAGTGTAGTTTTATTTGTATAAGAGTACAGAAAAGTAAAATTTTGTAAGACTTACTGCTGTGCCTTAACACTAAAAATTTGAAGTAATGCTAAGAATTTGAGGTAACACTTGTGTACTTTGACACCTCTTCTGTCAACTTGTCACCTTTTTTTTTCTTGTGGTTGAGAATTTGATGGTTGTGTTCCTTTTTCCAGTAACTGAAATACCACTTCTGAATGTATTAAAACTTAACTAAACCACAGCACCACTTGCAATGATGTGTGTTATGTGTATCATGTCTTCGTGGTTAATAGCATATCTCAGCCTCTGTGTATTACTTTCTGTGGAGTGTCATCTTTGTGGTCTTGTTCTCAAGAGGTGAAAAATGTTTACTTTCCCTCAGTATATCACAGAGTGAAGCTGGAACGCTTTATGAACAAGCAGCAGTGTAGAGCAGGTCAAATATGAGTTAATTGTCATAATTTCACAAAAGATATATTAAGAAAGCCAAACTAGACATTGAGAAGCTAAGAAGTAACTATTAAAATAGGTTGAGTGACCATCGGGTTCCTTCTTCTCCTTCTGAATCCCTCGTGACAGCCTTCAATAATTACAAAATCATGTAATTTCCTTCCCCTGGAGCTGCTTCCCCAATATCCCTGTTACTGTTGGTGCTTAAAATAGTCTAATACAGCAAGCTTCTATCCATGCTGCTTTTTATTTTTGTATGTCTTACTGCATTACCTTTGATGTTTACTGAATGTACTTTAAACACTTTCCTGTATATGGAACTGTATTACAGCTTCAGTATTCAAATTCCTTACAAATGTTAGTAGTCTATTATAGTCATCATTACAGCTTTCTGAAAATACTACAGGAGTGGTAAAAATGTCATTGTCAGCAATTCGTGTTGAATACAGGTGTTCCCTGGCAGGCCTGTTGTGTTTTTGGCAAGCCTGAGTTAGGAAGGAGACTGTAGGATTCAGTAGGGCACCTCTGAACCACAGACCTTGGTACTGCAGCTTTGGTATTTTCTTCCTCCTTCAGTTTCCAAGAGCAAGAGAAATCTACAGGAGCTGTGTTAATTTCCTCTGACTTAAATAGATTCATACTATGTGTCTTGTTGGTATACCCATATAATACCAACATAGGGGTATAATCACCATAGATTAAGAATCTGATATGGGCTATCTGATGGACCTGTTTTCAACGTGTGTGTGTTATATAGGTTTTGGATTGCAAACATTGAGAAAGCTGTCTCTGTAGGTGACATTAATAAATCATCTTATGGGACTAGTACTTACTCATACTGTTGACAAACTAGTCCATTTGAGGGGAAGTATTTGTGATTATTAATAGTCTCATTTTTTCAGTCATTTCTAGTATGTTGCCTTTTCCAAGTAATTTAGAAAATATATTTGCCTGTTCTTACGTTTGTCTGGGTCTGCTTATGAAAGTGCAATTTTTCTATTTCTTGTAGTGCCTTCACCAATGCAGATCACAGTAACATCAGAAAATTTCAAAACTATCTTGCACTGGCAGTACCCACCTATGTCTGAAACGCCTCGTTTTATTGTGGAAATCAAACCTTACAAGTAAGTTCTTAGTCTTTTGTCATTTCCTGTATCTGATAGTCTCTAGAAGCATAAAAAAGCAATCAGTCCATAGTAAATTATTTTCTTTCAATGGGGTGAGGGTTGTCTATGTGTAAATTCGTGGAGAAATTGTCAAATAACAGGGTGGTTGAGGTTGGCAGGGACCTCTGGAGGCCATCTCTGTAGCTCCAGTCCCCCTGCTCAAGCTGGATCATCTAGAGCAGGTCACCCAGGGCCATGTCGAGATGGCTTCTGAATATATCCAGGGATGGAGACACTCCAACCTCCCTGGGCAACCTGTGCCAGTGCTCTGTCACCCTCCCAGATATTTTGTCCAGGCAGTGTATTGTACAATACTGTGCAGCTCAAATTGTATTAACTATTACTTCATCTGTTTTACAGTTTAGGTTACTATAAGATCGTCTCAACTTGTGTAAACATTTCAGCTCATTTTTGTGATCTCTCAAGGGAAATATATGAGCCTTTTGCCTCTCACTGGCTTCGGGTTAAAGCTGTTGTTGGGTCACAACAGTCTGAGTATGTTGAGACAAATGAGTTTATTTTGCAAAAGCATGGTAAGTTCCATCATAAACTAAACCTCGTAATTTTCCCCCCAGATTAAAAAACTTAGTAATTATCCTTTTTGTTGTATTATTGTGTCTCATTTGGGAATGAATGTCATAAATTCAGGAGTCTGGGATGAAATGAAGTATGAAAGTTGTTTAGCTGGAACTCATATGTTTAGTCAGATTATTAGATGCTGGAAGTTCACATAGCCCATTTCCATGGGGAATCAGGTTTCCTGAGTACTGTTGCTCAAGATGAGATTTGTTTAGATTTTCAGGTAACCTTTGTTTCAGAACAGTATTGTTTTTAGTTGAGTGTAATTTATGATGGGATCTAGTCAGAAGTATTTTGTCGTTTGTTCTTATTCACATGTAAGTTTAATTCCTTTGCTAGATTTTTCTGGTTTTCAGTGATCTGAATTTTTATGGCTTTATGCATATAGGACAGTTGGGTTACTTAACAATGAAGCTCTGCGCAGACAATCTGTTTCTGTTTTAGAAGTAGATTCATGAATGTATCCAAATACCTCTTAAGTGTCATAGCTACTCAATATTAACAGCATTGAAATAAGCATGTAATTCTTCTCAAATCTTTGAATTTTTGAAAGGTACCTATAAATAGCATGTTTTATGTTAAAAGCTTTGGCCTAATAGCAAAGGTGCAATGTATTGCAGGCAAAATAGGACCACCAAAACTGAATCTCTCAAGGCGTGGTGATAAAATTGTGGTTGATATTTACCATCCTGCATTCCCATCAGTGGAGCTTCTTCCTGGGATTGAAGACATTTATTCAGAGATCATGTACTTGGTGACTTTTTGGGATAGTAAAACTCAGGTGAGTTCCAGATGAAAATTGCAAATTAAAAATACTTGTTTACCTGAAGCTTACAAACAAGATGTTCACTCCTGTGACTCAGAGGAACAGATACCAAGAAAACAGTTGAACGTAACACAGGACCACTGATGCCCTAAAATGTGGAGTGTGTCACAGTGAGATACGAGACTGGAAGGTCTGGATTTTACTTGTCCAAATGGATGTCTTATAACAAACATGAGATTACTGTATTAGTTGTATACAAGATAGTTACTGGATCTCATGGTATGGTTTCTGCATGCGTGCTAAAACATTAGTAACTCATGCACCTTTTACTTGTCTAGCTAGACTTTCCATTTAAGAAGATTACCTTTCAAGAAACTGATAACTCTTTTTATTTAATAATAATTTTATTTAGTTTTTGAGGAAAACTGTAATAGATGTGTTTATTTACAGTTACCTTTTCATATGGATATGTCCTGGGTTCAGCAGTAGCGGTCACTTTTCTCCTTAGTAGCTGGTGCAGTGCTGTGGTTTTGACTTTCAGCCTGGGAACAGCACTGATTGATAACCCCGATGGTTTTAGTTGTTGCTAAGTAATGTTTACTCTGACCAAGGACTTTCTGAGTCTCATGCTCTGCTGGGGAGGAGGGGAAGGCGGGAGGAAGCAGAGACAGGACATCTGACCCAAACTAACCAAAGGGGTATTCCATACCACAGCATGTCATGCCCAGTATATAAACTGGGGGCAGTTACCCGGAAGGTCTAGATCACTGCACGGGTTGGGCTGGGTATCAGTTGGCGGGTGGTGAGCGGTTGTATTCTCTTCCCTTGTTATTTCTCTTATCATTATTATTATTGGTGGTAGCAGCAGTGGTTTTGTGTTATACCTTAGTTAATGGACTGTTCTTATGTCAACCTGTGGGAGTCACATTCTTTCCATTCTCCTCCCCTTCCCTCTAGGAGTGGGGGGAGAAAACGGGTGGATAGTGAGGAGGTGGTTGCATCGTTCTGAGTTACTGGCTGAGGTTAAGCCACAACAGCGTAGAAGTTTAATAAGTGAATTAGGGCTGCAAATCTAGACCATGAACAGCACAAATTTTACCTGGAAGCCTGATCAGAGAGAACATCTGAAGGTAGCTCATAAAGTGATGGCTGAAGTTTGCACAGCTTTTGCAAGGCATATAGGTGATGTAGGAGCCATACCAAATACTATTTTAGGATTTTTAGAAGTATTGGTAGATACTGTAATATCTATATTGTGTTGACTCAAATGATATGTGACTTTAATTTTTTGTTACAGAGCAAAAAATTCTTCTCAGAAGACAGCTGTACGATGTATAAATGTAGCGTCAACATCCCAGTTCCTGCTGAAGGTTCCACTTACTGTGTTTCAGCAAAGGGAACTCTATATGGCAATCTGATAATTGGTGCCCCATCAGAAGAAAGCTGCATTGATATTCCTCTCAAGTGGACATTGAGTAAGAGGATTCTAAAGCTTTAGTACAAACATGCTGAGTCTGACCAGAGATCTGATCTAGCTAAGTATTCAAGCTCTGATACAGCCATGGAATGACTTGGATGCTTCTGGGGAAATATGAAAAAAGGGAAAGCATCGTCATTCTTTCTCAAAAGCACTTTCCAGTTCTACAGACCTTTGAAGATCATGTGTTATTTTTAAGTAACCCTTAATTTTGGGTGCTTTTCCTGCTTCACTGGTATTACAAGACCTCTTTCCATTGCACCTGATGATTAGTGTAATTAACAAATGACAAATGGATCATTCATTAAGTTGCATGGTTTTCAGAAACATTGTCTCACTTCTAACAAATTACTTTTTGCTTAGTCTCGTCATTTTGGAGCATGTATGTACACTTCCTTGAGTTTGAAGCAGCTATAAACTTGTCATCAAGTTGGGATAACTTTATTATATAAAGTTATAACTTTATGTAATAATATAAATAACCTCTTAGAAAATTTTAAATGTTACTTCATTATGGCCCAAAAATAGAAAAGAGAGATAAAATTGATAGACGCAGTTGTGTTCCTTTTTTTATACACAAAAGCAATGGTACCTGATGAAATGGTACCATGGGACCTGATGAAATCCATCCGCAGGTCCTGAAGGAGCTAGCGAGTGAAGTTGCTAAGCCACTGTCCATCATATTTGAAAAACCATGGCAGTCAGGTGAAGTTCCTGATGACTGGAAAAAGGGAAGTATAACCCCCATTTTCAAGAAGGGGAAAAAGGATGACCCGGGGAATTATAGACCAGTCAGTCTCACCTCTGTGCCTGGCAAAATCTTGGAGCAGATTCTCCTGGAGGGCATGCTAAGGCACATGAAAAACAACAAGGTGCTTGGTGACAGCCAGCATGGCTTCACTAAGGGGAAATCCTGCCTGACCAATTTGGTGGCCTTCTATGATGGGGCTACAGAACTGATGGACAGGGGTAGAGCAGTTGATGTCATCTACCTGGACTTGTGCAAAGCGTTCGATACTGTCTCACATGACATCCTTGTCTCTAAATTGGAGAGACATCAATTTGATGGATGGACCACTCGGTGCATAAAGAACTGGCTGGATGGCCACACACAAAGAGTTGTGGTCAGAGGCTCAGTGTCCAGCTGGAGACCAGTAACGAATGGTGTCCGTCAGGGATCGGTGTTGGGACCGGTCTTGTTCAACATCTTTGTTGCTGACATGGACAGTGGGATTGAGTGTGCCCTCAGCAAGTTTGCCGATGACACGAAGCTGTGTGGTTCGGTTGATACGCTGGAGGGAAGGAATGCCATCCAGAGGGACCTCGACATGCTTGTGAGGTGGGCTGATGCCAACCTTATGAAGTTTAACCATGCCAAGTACAAAGTCCTACACGTGGGTTGGAGCAATCCCAGGCACAGCTGCAGGTTGGGCAGAGAAGAGATTGAGAGCAGCCCTTTGGAGAAGGACTTGGAGGTGTTGGAACTGAACATGAGCCAGCAGTGTGCGCTTGCAGCCCAGAAAGCCAATCATATCCTGGGCTGCATCAAAAGGAGCGTGACCAGCAGGTCAAAGGAGGTGATCCTGCCCCTCTACTCTGCTCTTGTGAGACCTCACCTGGAGTATTGTGTGCAGTTCTGGTGTCCTCAGCATAAAAAGGACATGGAACTGTTGGAACAAGTCCAGAGGAGGGCCACGAGGATGATCAGGGGGCTGGAGCATCTCCCGTATGAAGAGAGGCTGAGAGAGTTGGGGCTGTTCAGCTTGGAGGAGAGAAGGCTGCGTGGAGACCTCATAGCAGCCTTCCAGTATCTGAAGAGGGCCTACAAGGATGCTGGGGAGGGACTCCTCATTAGAGACTGTAGTGATAGGACAAGGGGTAACAGGTTAAAACTTAAACAGGGGAAGTTTAGATTGGATATAAGGAGGAAGTTCTTTACTGTAGGAGTGGCGAGGCCCTGGAGTGGGTTGCCCAGGGAGGTTGTGAATGCTCCATCGCTGGTGGTGTTCAAGGCCGGGTTGGACAGAGCCTTGGGTGACATGGTTTAGTGTGAGGAGTCCCTGCCCATGGCAAGGGGACTGGAACTAGATGATCTTAAGGTCCTTTCCAAGCCTAACTATTCTATGATTCTATGATTGAGGGGGGCGGATGCTAAGGACAGTCAGACTAGCAGAATCTTAATAGTAAAAGTTAACAATTTTATGTTATGGAAGACGTCACATTTTAGCTATTTGTATGTAAAACATACAAATCTGTTCATCCCCCCCCATCATCTCTAAGGAATAAAAAATTAATTGCAAAATTTTTACCTCTGTAAAGCATCATTTGTTGATATGAATTGAAAATCTTCATTCTAATTTTTATTTACTTGATATAATGCTTTGTAAATTAAGGTTTTTTTGAGTGAAAAAGGTGGTAAATTGCATAGCTATAATGTGTATTTGTCATTCTGAGCTGTTACTTTTTTTGAAGTTATTCTAAATGGTACAGCAGTGCTTTCTAACAGATTTTTTCTATCTCCTTAGGCACAGAATACATCATCATTCTGTGTGTTGCTATTCTGAGCCTGACCCTAATATTGACAGTATGTTGTGGCTGCAAGAAACTAAGGAAGAACAACATAAAGCTACCTAAGTCTTTGGTAAGTTCAGACTTTTCTGCACCAGATTTTTTAATATCTAGCTAGTTATCTTTTATAACTATAACACCTTTATGCCTGTGTTTTTTTGTTTGTTTTTTTTTCAACCATGGTCTCATAAATGTACCAGTCTAGTATTCTGAAAGTCTGTGCAACTGGATGCATGGGTCCCTTCCTTCAAGATATTCTGCGATTATGTCCATTTTCATTGAAGTTTCTAGTAACAAATACGAACTACAGATATGACTAATGTGGGACTGTAAAATAAGTACTTAGCTAATTAATTATAGATTATTTTATGATTACTCATTTAAAGTAATAAATAATGTAAATGATCTGAATACTAAGTTTAATGATATGAAGCTGTCTCTAGACTTCTTGAAATTGGGACCCTGACCTTTGAATGTGTACTAGATGTTTCTTTCTGTACAGATTATGAACATTGTGCTTTACCTGAGCTTGTCTGAAAATGAAACCTGGGGAATTTTTCCATCTCTTTAAAGGCTAGCCAAGGTGTCGTATCTTAGGACTGCTGCCTTCCGGTGATCTGCTTCCTGGTGGCTTTAAGTAGATGCTAAAACACCATTTGAGTGACTTTTAGCAAGCTGAAATTCTCCAACAGAAGGAGAACTAAGAAAATGGTAATCATCAAGCAGCTACACTTGCAGCTCTTGTATACCCAAATTAAATAAAAAAATTCATTGCCATTTAGATCCAAAGAAATTTTCTATAGTTACTCTTTGTTGTGCTGCTTGTGACTCCCAAGAGTAACATTTCAGTCACTTCCTAGTAGAATCCTACCAGGATATGTATTTAGTGAATGGGACAGATTCCTTTACAAAACTTCATCATACTAGTCTTCTGCTGGATCACAGGAGTCCAGCTGTAGGTAGAGGCATTAGTTCTCTTCTGTTTACCTCAAAAAAGTATTTCAAGAGGCTGTCTTCTTCCACCAACCATCTTCAGTCATTCCAGTTTGTCTTCTGTGTTAGTTGTCCTGTACTAGATTTTTGTTGTAAGATTTGTGATAAGGGCTTACCCACTTTCAAAGGAGCCCGATCTTGATTTACTGGTATGCTACAGGCATCTCCTCTGCTTTAACTTCACTTCTTTTTCCCCCACTGCCTCTTTAAATAGTGGCAAATATTTTCATGGGTAGAAAACATCCACTCTCTGAGAGAGAATCCTTGAGAAGAACCAGCTTCAGTGTTTTAGCTTTTTTGCTGTCTGCTGATGCTTTTTGTGAGCCTGACTGAATTGTCAAGGCTGTGTTCTCTCACGTTATTTGTAGAACGCTTACAGATATTCATGAAATGTAAGAATTTTCTGTTTGACTCTGGCTTTTTTAGTTATGCGATGTTTTTGATTTGGAACATATATTTTTGATTTGGAGGATTGTAATTGGTCCTGTAAACTTTGACTGATACTTGCCCAAATAATTTGTCATCTTAGAAAAGCTGCTTCGTTAGCTTTTGTGAATATTTCCCCCTTTGTCAGCACCTGCAGGGCAGTACCACAGTCTCCTGTTCATGCATTTACACAGCATTAAATTGTTGTGGACCACGCAAAGGCTGTGCAGATTTTGTCAAGGTCCTAACAAGATTTGAAACTGACTTCTCAAACTTTCCTCAGAAAATGTGCACCTTAAAATTACTGGGAATTTGTAGGTGGACGAGCCCTTAGAAAATAAGAAAGAAACTGGTACCTTTTATGGATTTTTTTTTTTTGGATATGTGGTTTATGTGTGTCCTTTATCCTGGTTTTCACTGGTGTATCTTCCTAGTCTGTTGAGAAAAGGAAGACCTGAAAGCTCAGGTACTGCGACTGAAGACAGGAAGATATCTGAGCACCTGTACATGCCAGGAAATACTGCTGTCATCCAGCTTAAACTCACTGGTTGTCAGTTTGCTAGTATGAGATAATGTGCACAAAAGAAAAATACTAACTTGCTTACAGTAAATGCTTCTCTTCAAATAACAGTCATATCTTAATTACTCTTGCCTGCTTGAGATTTTTGAATGGCATTCCAGTTAGTGCAGTAACTAACTTCTTCTCATGGAAGTTAGAAACAATTGCATGAATTGCTACATTGTCATCACTCAGTGACTTTTAAAGAACCTTTGGTACCAGGAAACTTACAAGAGTCCTTCAATTCTGATCGCTATCTTCTTTCACGGATGGGAATAAGAGTTTATTTGCATTGTCTTGCTTTGGTCAAAAACTGACTGAGAGAAAAACAATTTCCTTTTTGAGAACTAAAGTCTTGGATGTAGTTGCACAGAGGGTACTTACTTTATTCGGGGTTTCTATCTCTAGTATTGCCAGCTGGCACTGTGAAATGCAGAACCTGCAGAGAGTATAGTGTGGTCCCTTAACACATTTTAGGACTGATTTTTTTAGAGCTACATGAAAACCCTAAGAAGAACAGAAGCAAGAAGTCCTTGGGTTTAGGTTTTAACTTCAGCGTAGCATGTACTGGTATGGAGAGAAGTGGAAAGTTGTAAATGCAGCTTTTAGCCATAGCTTCTGTAGCATTTTGTTTTCATTTGCATTCCTCAAGTATTCCAGCTTACATAGCGCATTGTCTTCTCTTGTCACTTACTGTGTGACTACTGGAGTATTGCTGCTCACCCTAAAATTACAGGTGCTGGTCCCTTCAAGGTCAGTGTTGGTATAGCATAATATCCAGTGTTTTTTCAGATATCTGTATGAACAGGTTTTCAAAAGGTACATTAATCCTACCAGCTGTTCGTAACATTTTTAGTATCTGTGCATTATTGATTGTTTTCTGATTTCTGTAACTATCTTCTAAGATTCTGCTTCTTAGGAATGGGTGGTTTCCATACATGCTCATGGAAATTACTCTGAACATTACTTATATAGTATTCTGAGTGCTTCTGCATAGCAGAAAATGAACATCCAGAGAGAATGATGGCTGAATGACAGCAAGGTTGTAGTGTGGTATATTCTCAGTGTTAAGAGCCGCCTTAATGCTGTTTTTACTAGCTTTCCAGTGGTAGCCAAGAGGACCGCCTCACTTTAGTGGAGCTAACCCAGCTGTTTATAAAACTCACTTAGGTTACAAATAACTGCTCTCCAGGGAATGCTTGTTAGGGTTTTGTGGTGATGGTGTTTGGTTTTTAAGCTCCAGTAGTTCCATTGATCCAGCCTAAACCACAGTACCATCAACAGATATCGGGGCAATTGGGGGGGAAGGTATGGGGCTTAAGTGAGAGATGAAGGAAGTTCTAATGAAGTCAGCACACTGTGAAGGCAAGACTGCAAAGTTACAGCCTCACAACCTTCTGATCAAGGAAGGTTCTGGAAAAGGACAATCAGATTTGATCATCTGATTTTGATGGCTCAGTTCTTAACACTAATACAGACTGGGAGGTTCTTTTTGCCTATTTGTAGCTTTTCTTAAAACAACATTATTTTTCTTTCACTTTCCTCCTCCTACCTACATCCCTTTCTTCCAAATTTGTCTCAACCTGATTTTTCAGTCAGACTGTTTATTTACAAAGTATCTCAGAAAAAAAGTGACTGTTTTATTAAGAAATTAGCTTATCTATAGTACTTGGTCATCTCTGATAGACATATGTTGAATTGTGAAATTTGGAAAAGGGTGCTTTTTAGTTGAATAACCCTTTCTCCCTGTGCTTTCTATTAGCTTTAGGGAACGCTGTCAGACAGTTGAAAATTTACCCTACTTGATTTTCATAAGTATCCTTGAAAACACACACACATACATATAAAAGAACCTAAACTGCCCTTGAAAACACACGCACACACACGTACATATATATATAAAAGAATCTAAACTGCCTGAAAGTATGTCATAAATGTTTAAAACAAGGTGCAGCCTGGCCATTGAAGGAATTGGTATGTTCTTCATGGGGAGGAGTTTCAAAGTGAAATGTTAAAAGCTTGTCACAGCATTGAGGAAGTGCTTGGGGAAGAAGGAGAAAATAAGTAGGACTTCAGCGTAGATGTGACTAGTGGGTACGCATAAAGGTTCTCATGTAGTTTTAAAGACCTCTTGCCAAAATTCACTTCCCTCCTAGTTGAGACAGTTGCCACAAAATACTAGGCATTTTAGTTACACTCATTAGCTATAAATATGAAAGGTTTCCTCAGCTAGTTGCAGAGTATTACATCTTTTTCTTCCTTCACTGGTTTCCTCTACATTGCAAACTTGAAATAACTTAAAATATAGTGGGTGACATGAAATGGATTTGGTCCTTGCATACTTGTTTGCACATAGAAAGTATTTACAGAAGCTTGCATGAAAGTGTTAATGGAACAGTTCAAGTCACAGATGTAGTCTAATTGACCTAGCCAGATTCTATTTTTGGTAATTTCTGTTGGGATTGATTTTAATAACATTAAATCTATATTATGAACTTGTTACTTTCTGTTTTTCAACCTCAAAACTTTGACAGACGATAAAGCAAATTAGTAGGTTATGTGGAACTAAAAGGGATTTTTTTATTTTTTTTCCAATTTAAGGTCAGTGTGATAAGAAACCTGAACACAGACAGCATTCCAGAACCAAAATCGGAAGTAAAATACATGTCTGTAATAAGCTTCGTGGCAGGCCAGTCAGTGTTGCCACAGAATGATGAAGTAATCTCACTGGAGGTAGAGCCAAAAGAAGAAACTGATAGTCCTGAGAACTCCAGTGAAGGAATATCTTCTGTTCTTCTGCCAGAGGCACCAGCCAAAGCAGAAGAGGTGTCTGTGCGGGAAAGCACAGAGGAGGTATCTGCTGATGATGAACAAAATCACAAAGTAAGAGGGAATTACTTTATTTCTGACAGTAGCCAAATGAATATATGCTGTAACTCTTCAGGTCCAGATGTTCCTGCCACAGAAATAAAGCAAACAGTCATTCCAAACAGCTGTCTCAAGTTTTCTGGCTATGACAAGCCTCATGTTCCATTAGATATGTTGATAGATGTTGGTGAAGAGCAGCCTGTGATTGCTTACAGGCCAGCTGACTAACCAGGATAGCTGATGTGTTTAATCAGAACTCAGGAGGAACAGCATTACTGAAGATTATGGAATGTCCAGGTTATATTATGAAAATCTACAAGGTGTATTTGCTCTGATCCAACGAGAATAACCAGTGCACAGTATAGACAATGGAATCCTGATCAGGCACTGAGGATAGTGCCTGAGAACAGCATAAAAAGTATGGGGGAAATTTCATACTAACCACTTTAGAAGTGTTTGTGTGACATAATTCACTATTCTTTCTGAAATAGCACTTTTTTAATAGTACTCTATGGAGAACGAGCTGCTTCTTGAAGGAGTATAAAACGGCAGCTGTGTTAATTTCCTTCAGTTTCAAAGCCTTTTCAAAATTAACTTAATGCTTAAAAGGCCTTCACTTGGTTATGATAGAGATGTGCAAGAACTATTTTGGGAGCTTTTGTCTTTGCTAGAGATATTTCTCCTGCTTGTCTTTTCTCTTGAAAACTATTTTTGTATTAAACAAAATGCTATTTCTTTTAAGTGAGAATATGCCTATAGCCTTTTCCTGTGTATCTTAAGAATTTAGTCTGTAGCTAAAACCAGTTATTTATAGTCTTTTCTGCACTGAAATATGTATTTTCAAGACCATTGCTTTGTACATTTCAGCAAGTAAACAGTAGGCTTTTTCCTTTCAATTTTAAGTCCTGTGACTGAAAAAAGCTATTTTAAAGGTGCTGTTATTTGTGTATAGATTCATCCGTTTGGTTCATCTAGATACGTTGTGTAACCATGTCACATTCTGGGTAACTCCTGCGTTACCATGCTGGCTTATGCTCGTTGGGGAAAAAAGTGTAATGCATGGTTGAACAAAATACTGAGAAAATGTTTTCAAAGTGCAGAAGCATACTTTCCTCAGGAGCATTTTTGTCCCAGTTCTTAGAATGATATGATTTTTTGAAGTAGATATCAACAGAACTTCTTCCAAACATGCTTTCTAGCAGGTTGAAAATGACTACCATTTCCCCCATGTCAAGAGAATAGAAAATGTGATAAATTGTATTTCAGAAGTTGTCATCTGACAGCCCTCTGAATTTTGTAGAATGAAATGAAAGTGTTGAAAACTGAAGGATGAGGATTTTATCTTTATATTTAAAAGCTTTTGAGCCTAATGCCTGCAATCCAATTATTTCCCCTTAGTTGAGATCTGAGAGGTATTTTCTGATTGTAGGAAATGTTTGCAATAGTTCCTGATGAAGCTTAGTTCAGAAAAAAAAAGAAAAAGGATGTTTTGCAGACACAAGGTGGTGCATTTCTACCAAATCATATCTTTGTTTTAAAAGATATTTTTAATAGGATTATTAGAAATGTTTACATGTTATAGCAGGTGGTTTTAAAGGAAAAAAAGTATCATAATACTTCTGTTCTTATCTATCTCAGTGGCATGAGCATTCATAGAATCATAGAATGGTTTGGGTTGGAAGGGACCTTCCAGCTGCCAGCAGTTCAAAGCCCCAGCCAGCCTGATCTTGAATCAGCCTGATCTTGAACACTGCCAGGGATGGGACATCCTAAGATAAAGTTAGTTTATACAGCAGTTTCTGGACTGCTTCCATTCCCGCAGATATCCAACATTAACCACAATGGTATGTAAGCAATTACTGAAGATTTAAAGGCAGTAGCTATTTTTCCCTTCTCTACTCTGTGTTGGAAGATATAGGTCAGTTTTGTCTCCCCCCAAAAGAAAGGTTGCTGTTCTCCAAGATCAGAAATTAGCCACAATAATCATTCCATTTGGTGTATCTGCCTGCTGGAAGTATGTAATTTCTTGAAAATGCTAGCTTTACAGTCTTAACTGTGTGTGTTGAAACCCTGGCACTGTTAGAAGAATTATTAACCAAAACTCAGCCTCTTAGACTTGTGTGAACATAAGGGGTCGCTAAGTGCTCTCTGTTCTGGAAGGCTTTCCTCTGCTGCTGTGCTGGAAGAGGAATGGTGTTTTTTGCTGGGTGAGGGCAGATAGATTTATTTTAAAACCAAGTGACTGTTTCTGATTCTTTTCACTTTCCCCTGCAATATTACTACATTGTGCATTGTCCTGAATCTTTCAGGTCACATGGAGTCCAATGTGAGTAAAAGGGACCAGCCAGATACTAGGATAATAGTTAATGACAAGAATGTTAAGATAGATCAGAAATGATACACAAATCGTGAGCAAATGGGAAAAATTTGATATGGCAGGTAGTTACATGTGATGGAAAGGCACTGGTACTCTGTAAGCTGAAAATAAAGCACAGGAGTATGAGAGCTCATGTGCGTAGGTATATGTTGTATAGCACAAACTGACATGTTCTTGTAACTGTCCAAGGCTAAATGTATTTTTTTTTTTAATGAAAATTTCTGAACTGTAATTACAAAAGCCACTGAATTGACACCCCTCCCTGCACGTAAGGTGCATCTCCTATCTAGTGTGTACTTCACAAGTGCCAGTAGCACAGGGATAGTTTAGATGTTTAAATTTCTCAGAGCAGCTTGCAGGCTTTATAATTGTGAAATAAAGAAGCTTAAGGGTGCACAAAGCACCAGATTCTCTAACTAGCTGTGACTAGCTGAAAATGTGAGGCCAAAGTGAGAGAAGAATGTGTTCCTTGCGTTAGCAGGTTCTATTTGCCGGAGTCTTGTTTCCAGCAGTTGCTAGGAGTGATAGTAAAAGAGAGCCTAAAAAGAGTAAGTACATGATGATATTTCTGCTAGGGTACAGTCTAGCAGCCTGTAGTGTTAGGACTTCTTGGGACAGGGAAGTGCCTTTTAGTTACAGCTAGTAAGCCTTACTTTTCCAGTCCTGTAGTACCAAATATCTAAGCCATGGGGTTTGGAAGCTGTCAGGTAGTATTTATCTATGCATTTTCACTTAATTACTAAATGAGTTTAAATTAATGGATATTCTTGTGATGAGGAAGTAGTTTGCTTAAGCTTCTGGATATTCATGTATCATACCTTGACACAGGATATCGAAGTGCCAAACATTTACAGGTTCAAAATCAGTTAGTATCTGTGCCTTTTATAGGCATACCAGCAGCCCAGTATGACATACGTGAAAGGTTTCACCACTTCAGGCTCTCTCAGGTAATTTTATCTTGTTATGGCTGCTCAGTATTTCTCCCTTCCTGTCTCCTAAAAAATGATTTGGGGGATGATGGAATATAAAATTCCAAAACATTATATCCTGCATAAGCGAAATTGTATCACAAAACTTCAGCCTAATACCTGACAGCGTTTCTAAGAATTTCTTAAGTTCTCATTTTTGCATGGACATTGTAACTTTTTACTTTCAGATCTTCAGTTAACAGTGAAGTATTGTGGTGATGCTGCGTGCTGGCACAGAAGTATCAAGTTGGGCTTTTATGGGTTTTCTGCATAAATCAGTAATTTAGCTTAATTGCCCTCTGGAAACAAGATATCTTGTGTCTTCGTTGCTTCAAACCAGGGCACAAGACATGCATACTTGTATGTAGTTTTTCACTTGTTAATATGGCAGGAAAAGAAACTTGCATGAGAAGAGCTGTTTATTTTTCAAGGCTAGAAATAACTGGTTGTTCTGAAGTGGTGCCATGTAAACAGTTTAATATTAATAAATAAAAGCTATTATACTTGGTTCAAATGAATAGTTTCACCATGTCTTAAAAAAAAAAACCCAACAAAGAAAACCAAAACACCAAACCAGACACAAAGCACCTTTCATCTTACGAAAGGAGTGAGCTGTATAGTTTTCTTTGTTGTGGTTTTAAAAATGCAGTCCTTTAATAATGAATTCCTTGTTTATTAATACACTTTCTATATTCTCTAAATGGATGCAGTCACTGGGCTAAGTGGGACCTCCACGGGTCCACAGTTTATTCTTCTCCCCCAGAACTGCATCGTTCCTGCTACCCATTTGTTTAAGGATTCCACAGTCCCATCAGGCAATTTATTATAGGCGTTCTTTACACCTAGAAAGTATTTTCTGGTGTTTAATGCAAGTTTTCCTGACTTCAGACACTTCATTATCTACAATGGACCTGCTGAACATAGTTTCATTTTTGTCTGAAATTTGTAGCTGAACTACTTGTAAATACTGTAAATAATAAATGCTTTTATGTTGAATTAAAAAAGAATTTCAGAAGACAAATGTGTGTGCTCGACTTTTTCTTACTTTTTTTGTACTGAAGACTAAATCCATTTTTGAAGCTTGCTCAGTTCAAGTTATGTATGTAGCATATGCTTAAACATGATTGAAAATTAATAGAAAACACTGTTGAGGATACGTATAGCATGTGTTTAATTACATGTAGCTAGTCACTGTATTCTACTAACCAGAGGTACTGGCATAGAGGAGAAGTAATTTTAAACTAAGTTGGTTTCTCATTTGTCAAGAAATACTTTGGGTAAAATACCACTTGGTCCAGGCAGCAGTGGAAGTCTGACTTTGAGGACAACAATTTGCATCCATTTGTTTTGAAAGAGGTGATACTTTTGCCGTACTCTGGTAGGGGATCTTTGAGAGGTACGAGGGCTGACACACAGGAGCTCTGATCTGCTGATTCTGGCCACATCATTGGCTTTGCAATTTCTTTTTTGCCCCTTAGTGTTGTTGACGTAGCCTACAAGAACTTCAGTTCTATTGCTTGAGCCTGGGGCCTCTCCTCTAGTTCTGTTTTAAAATTGAGGGTAAGGATTAAGTGGTCACACCATTTGAAGAGATTAATGGCTACAGAGCAAAGAAAGGGCTCCCTTGAAACTCACCTGTTACTGTATTTTAAGTTTAAATGATCACAGAAGTCTTGCTTGTATGGTGTTTACTTCCTAACTATGAGCATGTGCATCCTTACACATATCTTGGAAATCAACTATTTGTCTTGAAGTGTCATGCTAGTTTAGTGTTGTGGTTTAACCCCAGCTGGCCACATAGCCACTTGCTCACTTCCCACTGTGGGATAGCGGAGGAAATCGGAAAAGAACCTGTGGGTTGATTTAAAGACAGTTTCATAAGTAAAGCAAAACCTGCACACGCAAGCAAAGCAGAACAAGGAATTAATTCCACACTTTGCATGGACAGACATATGTTCAACCATCCCCAGGACAGCAGGGATTCATCATGCATGGTGGTTGCTTAGGAAGACAGGATAGCCAATTATGCTGGAAGCTAATTTTTCATTTATTTCGGGGCAAAGCAGTTTTGTTTTCTGCTGTACAACCACAGCTTAAAAGAGGACATGCATTACATGCAGAGCAAGTGATGAGCAAGCAAACCAGGTTCTTCTGCCAGGCAGCTTGCTATGTCTTCTGCAAAATTAATTCTGCAGTTGTCAAAATACTTGCAGCATGCGTGCAGTAGAGCAGTAAGCAATGTCAAGTCTGATCTGGTTCTTTCCTGTGCCAACATCTCTTGAATAGTGCAGACTCTGAAGGGTTGCTTAAACAACAAAAAATACAAAGTGAAAGAATAAAAATCTAGTATTTTCTTTGGGGTTATGATGGTTTTGTGTTATGTTTTCAGTGTTTTGGTGGGTTGGGGTCTTTTAACAGCAGCTGAGTTAATTATAGGAAGGGCGGATGGCATGTGCAGTCCCATCCCAGAAGATGGGAACTATATGTAGGGGTGTGTGCTTCTGCTGCGAGATGTGGAAGAGTTGAGGCCTGGGACAACAACAGCCACAATTGCAACGTGCTGCAGATGTGATTAAACGTGGGATTCTAACAGGTAAAGAAGGGTTGCAGAAGCTTGCTTGAGTGGCTACAGGGCACTTTGCCATTCCTTAGTTCCTTCTTCCATGTTTGTTCATCCGAGGAATCACTCTGGCCTTGTATCAGGTGTTAGTATAGTTTCTGTTGCCCCCTGCCCAGGTCTGAATAGAAACCGGAATGAAACACTGCGAGTTTAGGTGATTAATTACTAAGAATTACTTGACCTGCTGCTTCCAGGGTGTGTAGCAAAACTATCAATTTTACTTGAGATGCACCAAAGTTCATCTCCTGTAAGAAAAAGAACATGGGAAAAAGCTTTTTGTCAAGTAAGTATCACAAGGTGATCTAAATTTTTCTGGTAAAATGGTCACATTGGAGTAAACTTGAAACTAACACCTCCGAGAAGTGTGAAACCCAGTCGCACTGAGCACAAAGAAGTCTGTCCTGAAATGCTCAGCATGGTGATTCCTGAATGCCAAGAGACTATCCAGACAAAATCTGAGACATTGCTTTTTAAAAAAAGGCTCATAAAACTACAGTACATTTACAAACTCAATTTGGAGGTGGTGGTGGTGAAGACTGTTGTCAGAATAGAGCCCTGGTTTGGAGTTTGTGCCCCTTGAATGATACTGAGAATTTGAAACACAACCGCAGAACTGAGCCACAGGCTGGCGAGTGTGACAATTACAGACTTCCATTTGCAGAAGAGATGATTGAAAGGCAGTTTCTTGTTTTTTGTTTTTTGTTTTTTCCCTAGCCAGGGCTATCTGGAGCGTACATCTTTCCAGGTTTTATTGCATGAGGTAGCTACCGGAAGTGTTTGCTCCTTCTGCAGCCCAGGCTTTGATGACAGATACGGAATTAGGCATCCCAGTTCCTTCTGTCTCCTCCCCCAACACGTGCCTGCCAGCCTTCCACCCTTCTTGTGCTGTGTGGTGAGTCAGCCCAGCATGGTCTGTGGGCTGGGCTGGACAGGGCTTCAGTGGTCAGGCATGGAAAGTTCCAAACACCACCTACAACAAAATGAATGTGTGGGTTGTATCCCAGCCACACTGGTAATACTCCAGGCATCGCCTCAGCTGCATTTGGTGGCAGTGTGTCGGAGAGAGCAAGCATTGGCACTATCAGGCTTTGAGCCTTCCTTTCTTTAAGTTAGTAAGTGGATCAAGAAAGCATGAGTGATGTCTGTGTCCTACTTCTCTAGGCTTATCTGTGGCCTCTGCTGGCTAAGTGATCACCTGGCACTTTTACTATTAAGATTACCTAAGCAAAACCAACAAACTATGGATTATTCATAGAATGGTTTGGGTTGGAAGAGACCTTAAATATCTAATTCCAACCACTGCTGCCACAGGCAGGAGACCTTCCATTAGACTAGGCTGCTTAAAGCCCCATCCAACCAGGCCTTGAACACTGCCAGGGATGGGGCAGCCGCAGCTTCTCTGGGCAACCTGTGCCAGTGCCTCACCACTCTCAGAGTGAAGAATTTCTTCCTAATGTCTAATCTAAGTCTTCTTCTCCAGATTTCTTGCAGGCCCCCTTTAGGTACTGGAAGCTGCGCTAAGGTCTCCCAGGAGCTTTCTCTTCTCCAGGCTAAACAACCACAGCTCTCTCAGCCTGTCTTCATAACAGAGGTGCTCCAGCCCTCTGATCATCTTTGTGGTTTCTGGATTCACTCCAACAAGTCCATGTACCCTATATTGGGAGCCCCAGAGCTGGATGCAGCCCTGCAGGTGGGATCTCATGAGAGTAGAGGGGGAGAATCACCTCCCTCATCCTGCTGGCCACATTCACCTTGATGCAGCCCAGGCTACTAATCCCATATTAATTCCGTTAATTCCAGCATATTAATTCTATGCGTCTCTAAACTGGTAGGATTTTTATCATCAAATCATCTGCATATTATTAGGTGAGGCACCCAAAAGCTAAGGAAAAGTGGGTCTTTTCTCAATGGGCTTAAACAAAGTACAGCAGTCTTTAGTGGTAGGGAAAAAAAAAATCACAGGGCTTTGCAAATGAAAAAACCTGACAATTTTTAGGAAACTTGCCATTTAGATACCAGGCTTTGAGCTGTTTTGAGGGTTGGTATTATCTATAGTTCCTAATGAATGCTAGCTCGGTTACTGACTTCCTGGTACAATTCAGCATCTTGTACATCATTAAATAAATATTGTATGTGCAAATAAAGACTTGCTACACAGCAAGCCTTCAGCAGATCTTCATCTTAATTATGTTCCAATGCGTCACTATCAAAGTGCAGCACGGCATTGGGAGTTTCTAACTGTAATCTTTAAAATGTTGACCCGACTTTAACAGCGAGAGTCAAACAGTTTGTACCTGTGGGCAGGAAGCAGTGCAGGCACGTACTGTGCAGTGAAAGTTAGGCTTGCTTCCCCAGAAACAACTCTAAGAACTGATGTGATGCAATGCCTCTTCCCTGAAGGGCAGGGAAAAAAAATCCAGAAAGTCCCTCCTGCCTGGCTGAGGGGGTTTTCTGTGGTTTTATTTCTTTTTTTCTCCTGTATTGTAGTTTTTTCCCTGTGTGAAGTAATTTTGCCAGTCCCCACTGAGCTGGTGAAGGGCTGTCCTGCCACAAACACACCAGGAGCTGAGTCCCTTCAGCTGGGAGAGGCAATGACTGGGGAGGGGATCTAATTGCAGTTGCCAGTGATACAAACATTGGCAGAAAAGAGACTTGTCCGAGGCCCCGAGTCAAAGCACAAAAAGCATCTGTCAGAAGTTACAGTGGGGGGATCCCACTTGGACATGTGAGGGAAAAACTCATGCTGAAAGTGGTAGTGTGGGATAGAACTGCTATTAGCCCTCTGAGCACTAGGGTGCACCAGATGATCTCTAGAGCCCCCTCTTAAGACAGGTTTTGCTGCGAGTCCATGCTGGCTACTTAAAAAGAGACTGGAAACTACGTCTCCAACTGAGAATAGTCTTTCAGTCCAGAATTATATGAACCACCCATTTTTTATTGTCAGTTTGCATGAAGTGACACGTATGAGAGAGACTTGTCTGGCCTCTGCCAGTTACTAGAAGTAATCTCTGTGTGCTTTGGGAGTTTCTTCCCTTTCTTCATCTTCCCACAACCTCATTCAGGTGTGTAAGCGAAACCCACCCTCACATCCACTGCAAATATCAGAGACTGATACCTGAAAAGCCAAAGGTGGTGCTGCAGAAGCAGATCCAGGGTTAAATTTTCTCCTCCTGGGGATGGGGAACAGCTTGTTCAAAGGAAAAACACAAACCACCAAAACCAGTGAGGTGGTGCTATCAGATTGGATGAGTCAGGCAGCTTCCAGCAAGAATATATTTGACTTTCACCTCTGTGTAGCAATATCCAATCCTCAAGAGAAAGATGTCAGCTTACCCAACATTCAGATATGTTTTTATTCCAGGAACAGAAAATTCGCATGCCCACAGTTCTATGTCAGTTCACTGAAACACCAGTACTGCTGTTTCACAAAGGTTTGGATCAAAAAGATACTTCAGTGTATGCTACCTATGTGGACTCTGCTGGGGAAAGTAATACATTTGAATTTTCCATCTTTTCATAAAGTACTTTTCAGAGTATTCTTAAAAAATTTTGTTTTACAATGCACATCATCTATAGTGTTCCTCTATTGTTTTCATTTTAAAACGTACAATACACAGATTCTGCGAAACTCAAGATGTATGAACATGTCTGTGTATGTGTGTGTGCAGCTGGTACTTGTTTGACTGCAACTATCTTTACTGCACAAAGCACTGAAGAAACATGATTGAAGTTGATGAGTGGGACAATGTTATGATGCCAGTAACCTGGGGATTACCAGTGGCTGTTTCAATAATCACAAGAACTATGTAAAGAGTTACTGATTACCTCAGAGTGCCAAACCCAACTGCAGATAAAGAGCTATCAGAGTGAGGCATGTGGGAAACTCGGAGTTTTTCCATGGGATAGGCATTTCATTCCCTGTTTCACCACATGGCCAAGCTGCCTTTTCCGAGTGAGACCCATCAGTGCTGGGTGGGCTGGTCTTCAGCTCTGCAGTTGTAGGAGGAACCACCATCATCACCAATTCTGGCAAAGCTCCACACTTCAGCTCCTTACAATGGGCTGTTATGTGGAGTACGGGAAGGTGTGTTGGTACAATTCAAGTAAGCAAATACATAACCTATGACTAAACCTTGATGACCTTTTAGTCTAGTAATCGGTTTATAAAAGTTCCCTATTCCCGCACTTGAGTTCATATAATGTGATGAAATTCTAATTGCATTTGGTGTGGGGAACTACTTAAAGGTCACTGAATTTTGAAAATGTGTTGGGAAATGGATAGATGAAGAATTCCCAGTTGGTGATGGCAGGGTGGCCTTTCTGCCTTCTACCTCCATTGTGGGGTTTTCATGGTTTTAATTTTAATTTCTTTAATTCCCTTAATGGGGTTACGTAGTTAATTCAAAGCTACACAGCTAGTGTCTGAATATATCTGCTGCAGGTTTGGTGCTTGGATAATGAGATATAGCATATAGCTGGCCAGCCAAACTGAGAGTCCATGCCCATGTATCTGACAAGGACAGCTTCTTGATTAGATGATGTCCAATTTGCTGAGTATAACCAGATGTCTTTGAATAAAAAAATACCTTCATTTGAACCAGGACTTGCACTTTTTTTTTGTCCTGACAGGTGTTTTGTCTGCAGCTTTTCCCAAAATAAAGATGATAAGCAAATTTCTGTTTCTGCAGACAGGTAGTCTTCATGTCCATTATTTCTTTCCGTGTGTTGTTATGTAGTGCTGTGCTATGTCATACGAAATTGGGAGGTTCTCTTCTTGCTTGTCAACACTAGCTTGCAGAAGGAGAATGCATCCTGACTTTTGCCCAGCTGCAGTGGTGCATGAGTGGCAAAGTACATGTGGATGTCAGCAGTGGGAATCTTTTGGGGAGGGAAGAGTGAGGGGCAAGGCTAGGCAGGACTGGCAGCAGCCTCCCAGCTGCCACCAGAGGCACCATGCTCTTCACCAGCAACCGCCTTGGCTGAGCTTTCCATGCATTCCAAGAGCACAAAACCTGGCTCCCACCAGGCAGGTGCACATGTGGCATTAAAGCATTTACAAACACAAAGCAATACTGCTTTCATCAGGGAGCCCTGGCATCCCCAGCTCTGGGACCAGGCTCACAGGGGTGCACCTATTTGAATGGCAGGATTTGGAGGACAGCTGTGCTGAACGTCAATATCTGTGCAGGCAATGTTGTTGTGCACTTGCACCAGTCAGGCATAGGACTCCTGGCAGTCTGACAGTCCAGCAGAGTGGCACTTGGAACTGATGGGCTGGGCTTGCCTCCCTGTTCTGTGCCACCCTCCCAGCACCTCTCCAGCAGCCAGCATGATGTGAACATGCTGTCCAGCAGTACAGCTGGCAGAGACTTCATGGCCCTTCATTCCTCCAGTGATGTATTCCTAGACAACATCCTTCCGCAAATGCACCTGCAAACTCTGTTTGTCTGCGTATCCCCCTAAGACAGGCCAACTAATCAGGTGACATCCCATGGGTAGGTCTTTCACATGGTTACCGCAAAATTTCCTGTCTTCTTCAGCTCAGAGTGACCAGTGAGCTGAAACATAAATTTGATAGATGATAGATAGATAGATAGATAGATAAAAAAAGAACTCATAAATAAATGAATAACTATCTTAGCATGGCAAGCAAGCAATCTTGTGTGACAAATTTACAGGATAAAGTAATATTGCCAGACATCGTTTGGGAATTAGTGTCTAAAAATGAAAAAGACCTTTTCCATGCTGGTTTTCTTCATAATTAGTTCCAAACTTCAGAGTGACCACAGCTGCCAAGCAAGACCAATTGCAGATGCTTAATTTAGAGTAACTCATATGTTTCTCAGCTAAATTAAAAGAAAGCAAACCAGGCATTTTGGGAACTGCTGAAAGGGGAACTGGAATGTTTAATGATTACTTCCTCATAAGCCATGCCCACAAGAGAGATGCTCTTTATTCATGGAGCTGCTCTCCTGAGGATGAGAGGGATCATGCTTTCCTCCCTCTGCTTACTGATGCACCTGCTTCAGGAGAACATAGCTAGTAAGTAAAGGCTTTCTGCTCTTTACCTACGTAGTAGGGTGGGGGACTATGGATCTTTTACTGAATATGTGGATGAGTCAAGAAATCTCTGGCTCTTTCAGTGCTTTCAAAATTCCAGTGATTTCAAAATCAGTCTGTTATTTTGTCTTTTAAGTCTCTGAAATGCAGATAAAACAAGCATGCTGAGAATTAAAATGATTCATATCTATATTACCAGTTTCAGTTCAACTACTGCAAGTCATACCTGATTCTGTTATATGCCAGGGATAAAGATGCAGTCATATGGGTCATGAAACAAAGAAAAAACATTGGGATTTGGGTACTTCAAAGAGATTGTTAACTGATTTTGCCATTAGTAACCATCAGTTTGAAAACAGATTATCTTCAAAATGGTTAGACAGCTTTATCTTGTACTGCAGACTGGAAAAGCAGTGAATCTCAGGTTATTTTTTACTAGGCAAGAGCTGATAAACACAGCTGTGACAACACAGCTATAATCCCTGCAGGTTAATGCTGACATGTGGAGGAAAGAGCACTTAACTTTACCTACTGATGGGGCTGCTTACTGCAGGCTTTGTGAACTGATCTGAAGGGCTTGTTTCCTGGGATGTCCATCAGGCATCTTTCACAGTAGCAAAATCACTGGGAAAAATAAGGAAACATTAAAAAGCAAAAACTCAAAAAACCTCCACAAAACCAAACCAGATAAAATTGCTCTTTTCATATTACTAAAAATATTTGTTCCGTAACTATTAGGTCTGGTCAGTGTGACTTTGACAGTTTTGAACATACCACAAAGCCAAATAAGCTGCAGTAATACCTGCTGCTTTAGGTACAAAGGCTTATGTCAGTGACAAATGTGATATATTATCATTCCTTATCTTTTATTTGCAGCAATTTTAGTTTTGGAAAACCAAGACCTGCAAGATTCAATTAAGCCGCAGAAGGTAGAGTTTCATTCATTAAACTTCAACAACACTTTGCATTGGCAGCCTGGGAGGGCCAGAGATGCAAGAGACACCGTCTACTTTGTGCAGTATAAAGTGTAAGTACAGGGGGAACTCCAGCCTCCTGCTGGACTGGGGCACATCCATGCTTGACACATCAAAGGGACTTCCCGGGTGTCACAGGATATTCTCCTTATACTGGAGAGAATATCCCATGACCTGGGGAATGTCCACATCCTGCTTGGCTGCCAGCTCTCGGTTGTTGCTGCTCTTATCAACAGCCCATAAGGTGCGGATGAGCAGACCAAGGCAGCAGGGAACAAGCACCTCCAGCAATATGCTGTGCATCCTCATTGCAGCATAGAGGTGCAGAAAAATGTAGTTTGCAGAGGACTTCTGGAAGCCACTGGGTCCAACTGCCTTCCTGAAGCAGGTCTCGCTAGGTCAGGTATTTCTGCAATAGGACATATAATGTATTTTGGTGGCCCACCTTACCCACAACAGTGCTGCAGGGTCCCTCATGGCAAACTTGAGGCAGTGCTAGAGACTTGTCCTCATAAGAGGTACATTCCTATCCCTGGCACACTTGGTGAGTGCCCGAAATCGCTACTGCCTTTGAGAAGCTAGTTGGTGGAAACTGGGATTCTGCCCATCATTGAACACACTGGTTAAGCCAAAGTGGTCCCCTCTCCAGAGGGGCAAGTGTGCAATGTCTTCCCGCAGGGGTGGTAACCATATCTCTGATTTAGGTTTCTTTTAGAAAAGACAGACACCAGTAGCTCTCAAACACCCTTGAAATCAGTCTTCCCTGTTATCAAATTGAAGGGAGTTAATTTCCACAGGGGAAGGCTTGTCAGTACCGCCAAAACAGACAGCTAAAAATCTGTGTGACCCAGTCAGCAATACCTATAGCTTACATCCTTCCTCATCTTTCTCCATAGGTATGGGCAGAGCACATGGCAAAACAAAGCTGACTGCTGGGGGATTCAAAACCGTGTCTGTGACCTAACAAATGAGACCTCTGACATCCAAGAGCCTTACTATGGCAGAGTGAAAGCTGCACTGGCTGGCATTTATTCCAACTGGAGCCTCAGCTGCAGATTCACTCCCTGGAGAGAAAGTGAGTGCAATCATATGGGTCTCTGAGAATGTAACTGGATTTTCTGTGGCATGGAATATATAATTTCTGTTCACAGTTTGCAAACATGAGTAATCCTTTTCTAGCCACAAAGCAGTACCCAAAGAATTTGCGAGTCAATAGCTCTTCAGTGAAGTGTTGTGATAAACACTTGAAAGCCAACAAATTATGGATAAGTAGCCACTTATCAATAATTAAGGGATCAGCAGTGCTTGTCTGTCTTTAACCTACCCTCTTCCTCATGGAACTACACAAATTCTCTTCAGCCATTTCTGAGCTGCTAGAAGAACTGGACACAAGATAGAAAAGAAGGAAATGTTCTCTGCTTCAGGGGAAAACAAAGAAGAGAACTGAGAGCTGTGTGGCCACCATTCTCACATTTATGTGTTTCCTGATTGCTGTGTATTTAGAAAGGACATGCACAAAACTTTTTGTTAGTACAGTCATAGTGTGGCATAGTATGTTAGAAATTGGAGGACTGTTAAAATACTGAATAGTACCAGCATACCTACCAGTAAGTTCCCCATGAATTAACCTCACTGGTCAGTGCAAAATTGAATTGTGAATGTCAATGCACTTCACAGCCCTGAAGTGCAAACTGCCTTGAGCCTCCTGTACATATGGCTCAAGGGGCAGGGTAGAAAATCAGGGCAAAGAATCCAAAGCATTTTCCTTGACCAGCCTGCAGTCAGCAATGTGCAGCATTAAGAGATTCCAAAAAGTTTGGCTCAAAATGAGATCTAAAACACAGGAAAGTTCACCCACAAAATAGCCCAAGCAACAACCACCAAGAAGTAAGGACTTTGACAGTAAATACAGCATAACATATTGTTGGTAAACAAAAGCAGTAAATTGTTGAATATATTCAAATTGTGTTCGGTGAAACATTATTAATAAACTGTAACTGTGTTCATAGCTTTGGTTTTTCATCTTAGCTGTGATAGGACCTCCGACGATAGCTGTGGCTCATAGCAGCAAATCCATAATACTAAAGCTCCAGGCTCCACGTTCTCCTTATAAAAGGAAGAGAGGCAGCAAGATACCAATGACAAATTATTATGATCTGTTGTATCAAGTCTTTGTAATTAACAACTTGATAGACAAGGTAAGTGCATATTCAAATATGAACCCTTTACCATTGAAAAACCAGGAAAGTATGGGCACACTATTCTTATTTTACATCTGAAATCGTCTTCTGAGATAGTGAGAACATTGATGACTGTGCAAATATTTAAAACCAAAGTAGATTATTTTTCAGGAATTGAATTTGATTGATTTGAGTTGTAATTCCTCCCTTAATTTTTTCCTTCAACTTAGTATTTCATACTCTAAGACATAGATTAAAAAACTGGGACAGGAGGGGAATTTTCTTTAAAAATAATAAATAAATTGCAAATGCTATTGACATTGTGCAAGTCCATGTGCTGCTCTCCATCCTCTATTCTTATCAAACTTTACTCACAGCACACTTGCTAGGGTAATGTGCTTGACTGGCTGTTTTTACTCCACTCTGTCTGAAGCAACACAAGGTCCTGGTGTATGAAGGAAAACACAAGATTATTAAAATAGAAGATTTGAGGCCTGGAGTCAGCTACTGCATCATGGCTAAAACATACGTGCCAATGCTGGACCGCAGCAGTGCCTACAGCAGCAAGCAGTGCACCATGCTGCAGTGACAAGATTAACACCTCTGCGACAGGTAAGAGGTTCATCACCAGCTGAAACTGGAGATGACTCTGGGAGTCAAGAGCTGTTCCTCACCAAAGGCAGTTACCCTCAAAAATGAGAAAGAAAAGTGTAGCATAAAAACTGCCATCTCGTATGACAATATTAGCCAGAGTTCTTACATCATCTCAGCTAGTTTCACACCAGGTAAGAATGATATGGCCAAGGAGATTAGAGGAATGGTGTGGATAATTATTTGTGTGCTGATATGGTCCTCAGAAATGCCTCCTGCTTCCCTTTCTTTAAACAGTTATACACAGTATTGCTTTCACGGGTTTCTTTTGCTGTCAAGTAATAATTAACTAGGAAAATGAGTGCCCTCATACCTTAGGAAAGTGCAATTCTCATGCAAGCTCTTCAATCCTGTTCAGGAATTTTTCTGATGTATAATTTGGATGAGGCTATCCTCTCTTTTCATGGCATTCTTGCAGTGTGATGTGTTTAAAAATAAATCAGTTATCAAATTTCATGAGTTTCCACGGGCCAAATGCAAGAGCTAGCTCAACTGGCTGGGCTGAAAAATCTGTTTCTTTACTTGCCTGTATCACTAGACTGTCTTCATGTATCATATGCCCAGCAGAGAGATTTACTATCAATTCTGCCTTGCAGATGCTAAGGCGCAGAGTGTATAAAGACCTAAGTCACAGAACCAGCTATGTTGGAAAAGACCTTTAAGATCATCAAGCCCAACCATTACCCCAGGACTGCCAACACCACCACTAAACCATGTCACTTGAGGGCCTCATCTACATGATTTTTGAACACTTCCAGGGACGGTGATTCCATTTCTGGGAAGCCTGTTCCAATACCTGATCATTCTAATATACAATCTAAGTCTCCCCTGTCACAGCTTGAGCTGTTACCTCTTGTCCTGTTGCTTGCTACTTAGGAGAAAAGACCAACTCCCACCTTGCTGCAACCTCCTTTCAGGTAGTTGTAGAGAGCAGTAAGGTCCCCTCCTGAACCTTCTCTTCTCCAGACTAAACAACCCCAGTTCCTTCAGCCATTTCTCATGAGACTTATTCTCCAGACCCTTCACTAGCTTTGTTACCCTTCTCTGGACCCAAGCTAACCTCAGTGTCATCTACCTTAGCAAGCTGAGATTTGGGTCCTTCCTAGGGGTGATGGAGAAAAACTGGAACAGCATTAAAGTCTGAGCCTGTATTTTTGTTCTCAATTCAGTATTCTAATTATCACAGATTTTCTTCCTTCTGCTTCATAATATAATACACAATGTTGGTCTCTCTTGATACCTCAGTGGGTCTAGGCTAAGGAGAGAGTCAGTTTCTAGGTGATACTCCTGCATTTTTGCTTGCTTTCCCCATTCTGTGAAAAGCTGAAAGCTCAGGTTAGAGCTGGTACAGGAGGTACAGGAGAGACGCAGGCAAATGGCATGTGTTTAATTTTTGGTTAAATTGAATGCTGTCCAGTTTAAATGCACACTCCAGCAGCAATTCTCTTTCTCTTCCCAGATACAAGGGTAACAGCAGAAGGTGCCTCCCATCACAGATCCAGCTGTAAATCAACATCTTTAGTCCATGCTTGGAATACGTACTCGGTTCCTTTTTAAATTAACCTTTGTTGCATTAAAGGATTTGATCATCACAATCATTTTATGCTACAAAAAGGCACAGGTTTTTTGTATGCCCTATATTACAATTTACATAGTATACATTTGTATTTACAAAGGAAACAGTCTTGCAATATTTTAAAAAATATGGAAAAAGCAGTTGTGAAAGTATTCTGAAGATTGTTCCTAGGGATTTTCTGTTCTAAGCCTTGGAATCAAAATACAATTTATAAAATATAAGTTTCAGATATTTTATTTCTTCTAGAACAAAGGTGGCAACAAAAGATGAAAAAAGTGTCTTTTCTTTAAAATAAGAACTATACAATACAGGAGTATACCCCATGCTCACAATGTCTTCATAGTAACCTCAACGTAACTGATAGTGAAACCAGTATGTGATTAGGCAGGAGCTCATTTAAACGGAAACAGAAAAGATCAACACTTTGAGTCAGTGACAGGCAGTTAAAGGGAAGAAAGATATATTTCAGTAAATGATGAACAAATGCTGACCATCATTTGTGATTTCTAGTAGTCTTCATCTCACAAGGGAAAAGAATTCTTGGGCAAGGTCTAGGTAGATGCCCACTAAGCCACACCAGGATGAAGAGGTGAAGTGGCTTTTCCAGATTGCAAGTTCTATAAGTAATGAGAATCTTAATACTTAAGTGCATTCTTTTATTGACAATTAAGTGAGGGGAAGTGGGAGTGGGCAAAGAGGGCAAAGCAAGCCCTGGGAAAACCGGGAGCCCCTTGCTACATAATCCACATTTCCCTTAATTAACATGCACAAAGGTGGATTAGTTCAGTTTAAGTAGCAGACTTGGAGTTCACTTAAGCCACATCCAAAGCATTTTTCATGGTCTGTCACTAACACCTCACTTGGAGGCAGCGCTGCTGAGAGCTGCATAAGGGTGCTGGCAGTAGGAGTTTGCGAGGAGATTCTGCTTCAGTAAGTGAATGCTGGTCAGCCTTTAACAAAACAAAAGAGGTCTTTATGTATAAATATTTCCACCATCTGATTGTAACACATGACATGTTTGAATGACTAGATTTGCAGGTGTCTAGATGTGTGCACATACCTAGTCCTTAAACCCAGGTTGCTTTCACCACGCTTCCCTTTTTTGCTTCTTTCCCATTTTTCCAGCTGTTTTACCCATCCCATATCCCACAGTTTCTTAATTTAGATCAGTTTTTTGGGGGAAGCAGGGCTTATTAAATCTCTGTATAGTACTTAGCACTATGACAAGTCTTAGATACAGCACTGCTCTGCTGTGCCTCTTGCGCTGGGCAGAACCACAATAAAATAATCCAGGCAAAATGTTAAGAAATAGCCTTATATTTCAGCAGTGATAACTTCAGCCACTTGTGGGATATCACAGCCTGAAAATATTATCTGTAGTAATTCGAATTCTTTCTCAAATTCACTTCTCTCCTAAAGGGCAACTCATGTTGCTGTTGTTACACAATGATGAAGTTTAAAGTAACATCTACTCACCCTAGTCAGAGGACAGACTCTGACAATGTCAGATGCACAGGATGAAACTGGTTAAGGTTCTCAAATCTTATAGAAGACATGAAAAAAAAAGAAAAAGAAAAAGAAAAGAAAAAAAAAAGGAAAAAAGAAAAAGAAAAAAAAAGAAAAAAAGAAAAAGGAAAAAAAGAAAAAGAAAAAAGAAAAAGAAAAAGAAAAAGAAAAAGAAAAAGAAAAAAAAAAAGAAAAAGAAAAAGAAAAAGAAAAAGAAAAAGAAAAAGAAAAAGAAAAAGAAAAAAGAAGAAGCAGAGCCATAGGAGTACCTGAAGCTTTCAGACCTGGCTAGAAGGACAGCAGCTGCCATGCTATGGATCTAGGGAGAAGCTGGACACCTGAAAGTTTTTCAATTTGACAAAATTATAAAAAATATGTAGCATGTATACTAGGAAAAACAATAAAAGGTCTGAAGAAGTCTCACACTGTTATGTTTGCTAACCAGATTTCACGTCTTCAGCAACAACGGAGGCTTACAGAAAGCAGCACAAGACTTGCAGGAACAATGCACTTCCATTCTTACGGTACCAGGATTCATCATTGCCAATCATAATGTTCTGCAAAAGCTAATTTTCTCTTCCCATTTGAAATGCATATATCCTTTCAGCTCTGCTCTGACATGTAATTTTACTGGGGGAGGGTTTGGTAAAATGACTGGTGCTGTATTTTTTTCTCTGCATCAGCAGTAGTGGCATGCTCCACTGGGCTTGCAAGACGGGGCTCCTGAAGGGAGAGGTACTTTGTTGTAGCATATACTGGCTGGGTGGTCTGCACCCACAGCTTCTAGATAGCCCTAGTAATGCTGTAGCTTTTAAAAACAGCTTTTCTGTGCCTTATTCTGTATGCTGCACAGCTGCTTAAGTGTCCGTGAGGGTGGAATGGAGGAAGAGCTCTCTAAACTACAGCTAGGGCTTTTCTGCAAGCAAGTTATTTTGGAAATACCTGGAAAAGTGAGCTTCAGCCCTCCTTCCCCTTCCTCCTGCGGACACAAGGAGACCATCTGCTGTAGGTCCACCCCTCCAGAGCTGCCTGGGCTAGCACAGGGCTCCGCAGTGGTTGGTCCACACGCACATCACTCAGTGCAGGACACCTTTACACCGCTGGCTTGACTCCTTCTGGCTGTAAGTTTGCAAGACCCAGCTGAAAACACCCTTTTCTTGTTTTTTCAGTCACTTACAGAGAAAGCATTTTCTAACAAAATGCCAAATGCCAGGTTTTGGCTTTGATTCAGGAAAGAGAGAACTAAATGCTGACCTCTAGGGCTATTGCATAGAGTGGGGAAGACCAACCAGTGTAACAAAAGTGGGACTTGTGCAACTTATTTGGTAAGCCCTCGACTGCCACCTCACTGGGGGATATCTGCAGTCATGGGCAGGGCCCGTTGCAATTGCCTCATCTGGCCAGACTCCATGTCTCATATGGACAGCTGAGGGTCCTGCCAATGAGAAATAGGTATTATGTCTTTTAGAGTTTGCAGTTTCTGACCTTTGCTTGAAGTGGAGCCCATCCCACAAGGGCTACCCTACTTTATTTCATGACAGTTTTCTTATCTGTCAGATGGCATAAGAGCTTATCTCCCACTGTAGATGGCTTTAACTTCACATTCTACTGGCACTCAGAAGAGCAGTATTCAGCTACCAGAAATTCAAGAACAAGGCTCTGATAAAGCTGATAGAACAACAGCAATGGACCAGATGCTCCAGCCTTATAAATTAGGAGAAGATTATGCATAACCAGCTGTACCATATAAATGCCCAGTTTTATATGATGCCATGATCCTCGGTGTTTATCATATGGTCTAGCATCTGGCCAGTCCTATTCATATCCCCCATATATCTGCTGTAATCAGATGTGGACTTGAGGTTTATTTACTTGCATGACTTGATCTCAGCTAAGAACTGCTCTCATGGCCAAGGAATGGGGTGCTGTTGTGAATTGACATTAGCTTCTGTCACAGATCTATCAGACATTATCAAATATTCCAAACTGCAGGGAATTAATTTTAAATAGGTGGGGGTGTCTGTGGATTTTCTATGGATTTCAATTTTTGCTACAAAAATCAAAGATACTAAAGTCTGTCTGGTAAAACAGAAGAAAGACTAAAATATAATCCAAAGTCCTGAGACCTGCTTTGCCACTAAGGACACAAACCAAAGGTACTTCTGCAGAAAAACGGAGTGAAAGAAATGACGCCGGTGTTCATCATCATGAAAGTTACAGTCTGCTTTGCAACTTCCTTTCAGAATCTTTTATAAAATGCTTCCAAAGGAGAAAAATAAAATAAAATATATATATATATATATATATATATATAATTCAATTCCCCAAATGATTAAATCAAGGGAATGTGAAGAGACGGCAGAAACTGAAAGCAATCTCAGTTTGGTACGGCTTTATAGCACACTTATTCTGAATAACTTTCTGAAGCTGATTCTCTCACCTGCTGAAATAATGCTTCATTCTAATAAATATCACAAAAAAAAATATGCCAAAACTACAGAAGAAGACTAAATAAGTTAAATTCTTTCAGCTGCACAACAAGATGTATCATCATCATAGAATCATAGAATAGTTAGGGTTGGAAAGGACCTTAAGATCACCTAGTTCCAGTCCCCTTGCCGTGGGCAGGGACTCCTCACACTAAACCATGTCACCCAAGGCTTTGTCCAACCTGGCCTTGAACACCACCAGCGATGGAGCATTCACAGCTTCCTTGGGCAACCCATTCCAGTGCCTCCCAGCCTCACAGTAAAGAACTTCTTCCTTATGTCCAATCTAAACTTCCCCTGTTTAAGTTTTAACCCGTTACCCCTTGTCCTGTCACTACAGTCCCTAATGAAGAGTCTCTCCCTAGCATCCTTGTAGGCCCCCTTCAGATACTGGAAGGCTGCTATGAGGTCTCCACACAGCCTTCTCTTCTCCAGGCTGAATAGCCCCAACTTTCTCAGCCTATCTTCATACGGGAGATGCTCCAGTCCCCTGATCATCCTCGTGGCCCTCCTCTGGGCTTGTTCCCACACTTCCATGACCTTTTTATGTTGAGGACACCAGAACTGCACACAATACTCCAAATGAGGTCACACGAGAGCAGAGTAGAGAGGCAGGATCACCTCCTTCGACCTGCTGGTCACGCTCCTTTTGATGCAGCCCAGGATACGGTTGGCTTTCTGGGCTGTGAGCGCACACTGAAGCCAGCTCATGTTCATTTTCTCATCAACCAACACCCCCAAGTCCTTCTCCTCAGGGCTGCTCTGAATCTCTTCTCTGCCCAACCTGTAGCCTAGGATTGCTCCGACCCAGGTGTAGGACCTTGCACTTGTCATGGCTAAACTCCATAAGGCTGGCATCAGCCCACCTCACAAACATGTCAAGGTCCCTCTGGATGGCATTCCTTCCCTCCAGGGTATCAACCGAACCACACAGCTTGGTGTCATCGGCAAACTTGCTGAGGGCACACTCAATCCCACTGTCCATGTCAGCGATGAAGATGTTAAACAAGACCGGTCCCAGCACCGATCCTTGAGGGACACCACTCGTTACTGGTCTCCAGCCGGACATTGAGCCATTGGCCACAACTCTTTGCATGTGGCCATCCAGCCAGTTCTTTATCCACTGAGTTGTCCATCTATCAAATTGATGTCTCTCCAATTTAGAGACAAGACCATCCCTGAATGCACAAGGCCACCATCTCCTGCCAATTTGCTCTTTGAAGTTG